TTAATTGCATGTTAATTGCTCTAAACACCTGAAAAGAGAGAGAGAAAAACTTGCAGATCGACGGAAGATACAGATGCGCAGAGAGTCTCCGAAGAATTCACTGGGGATTATTCTGTTTTCTTCTTGACGTTTCTTTTCTTTCTGCTTCTGTGTAAACTGGACTGCAGGTTCGGGCTAAAACAGTTGCACTCATTTGTTGGCCCAGTCGTTCTTGCTGCTCTTGATCTTCCGTTGTGGTTCTGGGTTCTCCAGTTCTTCAGTTCTCCAGTTCTCAAGTTCCCGAGTGCAAGTACCCAGTGAAGTACGTGTGGCTGTATGGCTGCGTCTCTGCCTTTTGAACCAGCCTCTGGCAGGCGGAGACAAAGACAAGTTTTTCAAGTTTTCCGACGGGGGCACATGAAGTCATTCAAGTGGAAGCAACGAACTGGACGGTAGTCGTGGACAGGCGAAAGGCTTGTGGTCTCTGGTCTCTTGTCTTTCCTACTCCAAGCTGTCATTCGCACTTGAAGATCAAGTGATATATGTCTGGCTATCTGGCTGTCTGTCTATATGTGCTACGTCTTTGGGCACCAAGACAAAGTAGAACCACTGGCAGTCGTATATTTACATGGTATCAGGCAAAGTCTATGGGGAGCCAATAAGTTTCGATTAGATAAGAATCGGGTACTTGACGCACTCGCAGTCTCCTTTCGAGGTGTTGTTGTTGCTGTCGCTGTTTGGATGGTGTAAGTGAGCAAGTTATAGACCACTTCACGTCATAAGCATTGGGAAACTGTGAAGTGCTCTAAATGCTATAGAAATTGACTAACTGTGATCTTAAGTGGTGGAAAACACCTTTTAAACATAGAATTAAATGTTTAAATTGTTTATTCTTTACCTTGTAGCAATAATGATAAAAATAGTTCTATTGATTGTTTATTATTTATAATAATATTAATGATGGGATACTAAAAGTCTTCTAAATGCAAAAAAAATTAACCAGAATATGATTCAAAATGGGTCAAATGTTGTAACTTATAACTTGTAACTGACAAAAATGATAAATATATAAAAAAGTATTTAAATCTCTTTTGAAATTAGAATAAACCGCTTAAAAGGCTTTCTCTTTGTCTTATAATAACAATGGAAACATTATTTTGATAGACCTAGCGAATAATAATCTCCAAAGTCCCAGCTTAAACCGTAAACTTAATTGCCACTAAAGTTTCATACTTCTAAGAACTTCCCATCCCATCCCCAAAAACTGACCGCATTGTAACACCTTTAAAGTTTAAACTGACTTGCGTTGCGATAAGGTTTGTATATAACCTGGATTTTGGTGTAAATAGTTGGGCATGCCCCTTTATCGTCCCGTCGTGTGTTTGTGTATTTTGTGGGGCTTGGATAGATGTATGTATGTATAGAAACCCCGAACAGAAGCGAAGCACTGACCCAATTCAAAATTGAAATGAATATTCCTAAGGTCTGTAAAGAGGCCATTGTGCCGGTGTTTTTGTACGGATTCACAGTGAGGTGTTAATTAAATTTATTTAAACCCTCTTGGGGTAAATCTACGATTTCCAAGCTATGATACGAGCCAAATGAAGCGTGCCCAAATAGAATGGCCCTTTAGGGTTTGGCTACCAATTCGGGAAATGAGTTGACAATTTGAATGGGAAACTCAAAGCGAGCCCAAAACCAGAAATCTAACCACACCAGATTGGATCGGTTCGGCTTGGATAGTCATAGCCATAGCCCCCAGAAAAATTTCAACTAAATGTAATTGCCAAAAGCATCAACAACTTTTATCACAAAACCTGTCACTTGCGCCGACTATGTGTACGTATGCCAAATGGCCACAGCATAACTTTTGGACATAATTAAGCCATCAAACCAAAATCTTTGCCATTTGCGTTGACAGTCACTTGTCGCTGTGTTGGAAAACAGTGAGCATAGCAGACTCTGCGCACAAAACTAATTAATTAAAATGAACTACTCAAAATGTTGGCAACACTTGGCAATTTTTGTTTTGGCGGTTACGACACTTGTTGGCTGATGAGTTGGGATGATTTAAACGGAATTAAGCGATAAAATCTAGCATTACCAAATTTTATTAGCGGCTTTTGGTAACTGATCATGAAATAAAATGTAATTACATTCCTAAAAACCAACTACCTAATAAACCGTATCGCAGAAAATATAAAAACTATAGTAAAGTGCCACAAGCAATACAATGTATATAATATAATATAAGATTTATAAACAGCTATGTTTTCTAGCTCATCTTAAAGTAAACGTAGTCCAACAATGAACTACTGATCTATTAAAAGAAATTGTTATACAAAATCAATTTCAAAATCAATCAATTAGACCTTTAATACTTAGGAGTTTTTAAGAAAATAACAAGTGTTTCATAGCTGTTTTAAAAAGGCAAGTCGGAAAATAAGCTTTGTGTAATCTAGATTCTGAAAGCTCCAAGGTTACCTAAAGACTTTACCCTGGCTACCAAACAAAACCGACATCCATGGAAACATCAAAGCCCCGAAAGACAAAACTTTAACAAATATCCAGTCAATAATTAATCTCAGAATAATGCAGTATTGCTGGCTTCCACAGGAGCGACGAGAACCCGTTTTCCGAGAGAAACCCCCAGTGGTCCTATCAAGCAGCCGATTCCAACGCATCCGGGCAAATGCCACTCAGGCGGCCAAACAGGAGCAACTGCATCAGCAGCAGCTGCGGAACGAGGCGGATGAGAAACTTCGCATTGGAGGCGAGGAGCTGCTCCGTAAATTTGCCGGACGGAATCTGTGCATCTCGCGGGAGGAGGAATGCGCCCGGGAACTCAAGCAGATGCAGGATGAGCATCTGGAGGCCAAGCGGCTGGCGGAGGAGGAGGCCAAGGCCTCTCGGCTGGAGCACCAGAAAACCAAGAGAGAGCGAATCGAGGCGGCCCAGAAACTCCTCGAGCAACTGCGTCCAGGTCCGCGGGAACTACAGTGCGCCCGTCTCCAAAGTGAAGTCATGCGAGGCGTCAATGCCCAGCGGGAGGTCCAAGCGGAATTCGCCAAGGCAACCCGGCGGCAGGAGGAGCTGGACAGGAAGATCTTCCAGGAGCAGGTGCTTCGTGGCTTCGAGGACGCCCAACTGCGTCACAGGGAGCAGTGCCAGCAGCTGGCTGAGCACAATAAGGAGCTACTGCAATTAATTGCGGAGAGGGAAAGAGAACGACAGGTGTGTTTCTAGAAAATATACTACATCCATTCATCATATAGCACATTTTTTTGCTTCAAAATAAAAGGGTAATTTCTAGAACTACGTTTTCAACTCTTGATTTTGTGGTCTAGAAGATACATTTAAATTTATTTACCTTTAAATGGCAGTAGTTGTATACATTACATTTTGAACTGGTTTATTTTGTTTTCTGTATTTGCTTTTAGGTAATGAAATTTAGAATATTAAGATATTTGGAATATGTTTTGTAACCATGTTTTAAAAATTGATCAATTTTGTTTTTGTTTTTAGATTTCCCATATACCTCAACCATGTTATTATTTAATTCCTCTTATATTGTCAGGCCACCAAAGCCAAGGAGCTGGAGGAAGCTCTCCAGGAGCGGGAGCGAAACCAGCGCATGCTGAAGGAGCAGCAGGACAAAGAGAAGGAGCTTCAGGCCGCCAGGCAGCGCCTGAAAAAGGAGGAGGAACTGGCCTCCTTGGTCATGTCCGATCAGCGCCAGAAGCGCCTCCTGATGCTTGAGGAGATAGAGCAGGTTCAGTGCGATATCCACAACAAGGCCAAGGGTCATCTGGAGCAGCTCAAACGGGACAGGGCCAAGCAGCGTGTAGAGCAGCGCATCCGAAGGAATGAGAAGCTGGCCAAGGAACTGGCTCCTCGCCTGCATTACAGTGCTCGGGAGGATGAGGAGCGTCACAAGCGGCAGTTGGAGGAGATGCGAAAAGTACACAGTGCCGAGCAGGCCAAAAGAAGGGAATCCCGAGAGCAGGCCAAGAATGCCCGTTTGGCTGTCCAGCGAGAGGAAGAGGAGCTGGCCAGGAGGATGAGACAAAAAGCTGCAGAGGATCGCAAGGAGGCAGAGAAGCTGCGTCTCCAAAACGATCTCACAAATGTCCAGTTTATGAAACAACAGAGGCAGGAACACCTCCAACGCATCAGGGAACTTCGCCGAGATCTCGATAATCAGGTGAAAAAACGCATCGAGGAGGAGACCCGACCAGGTACCAACTACAACCGGGAGGCACAGTTGGAGGAGCTGCGCGAGGATGCCTTTTTCTTCGACTATGCCCGCCAGCTGATGGACGAGGCCAAAGCCAAGGGGTGTCCACTAAAACCATTTATCAAGGCTGTTGGCCAGTACAAAAACGATAATCGCATAGGGGCTGAGATACGTATCCCTCGACATATGATTACCCGATTGCCCATGGGCCGGAGAACCCAGGGAGATAGCCAAGCGGAGGGCAAGGAAAAATCTTTGAAGGATCAGGAACCCAATGCCAATGAGCTTAGTAAGGAGGAAAAGCTGCTGAGGCAAAAAATCCAGGAAAACCTTAAGAAAATTGAAGATTTGGTGTTGCAGGACGGCGAGGTTAAAAATAATCCAAAAACTTCATAAGAAATAGTAACTAAGCTACGATTCGATAATATCATTGAAGCAAATAAAAGTTCTATGATAAAATGAAGCCTTTATATTTCTTTTAAGCCCTGAATAATCAAAAACCACCCAAAGAAACCTCAAAACAAAATGGTTGAAAATAAAACCCCTAACTTGACATGAATTGTGGTTAACTTTGTGGGCTGTAACTCGAAGGCAAAGTATTCGAATGATATCCATTACAACTGAAGAGTGCTCATCAACTGTATTGAATTGCAATTAAAGGTGCGAAATTTAATTCGTTGGCGATCGATTACCAATGCCATTACTCACTGGTGAATCGAATTTGTTCTTTGGGTTTTAATTTCCCAAAAAGATACTTTCAAGAATCGATTCACTTTGTGAAAAATGCTAACTAGGCAACAGGCTCTGACATTTCAATTTCTCAACTTTTAATATTTGAACATTTCAGTTTTGTAGAACACGTAACAGGAGAAGGTCGCTCTAGAGAATACCGAAAATATTTAAAATAAATAATATCTTTAACTTTTTTCAACAGACTAAATTTCTAGTAGCAGTAGAGTATCAGAAGTAAAATGGCACCAAATTTTGTGCAAAGTTCTGGAGTTCTTACGTTGAACATCGATGAACTGAGGAAACTCGTTGAACCCGCCGATATCGAGTGCTTGGAGCAAATTAAACAGGAGGAGACCAGGTTGAAATCCAATCGCGAAGTCATCCAGAAGAAACTGAATCAACTGCTGCGTCGTATCAACGACCTGGACGACGAGGTTGAGAGGGAAGAAATTACCGAGCTGGAGTTCCAATCCATGAATGCCGTAAGGAACTTTCTGAACCTGCGCCATCAGCAGTTGGCGGAGAGACTCGTTCGCGTCGGAACTCAACTGGCCAGGACAAAAATAGATCTCAAGCGTCGAGAGGTGGCCATCTTTAAGGACGTTAAAGCCAGGGGATTGATATAAAAGGGTTGTAACAAGCTGAGCACCAAGACCATATTCGTTCCTAACTTGGGTGACTTTAAAAGTACCATCAGCAGTTGTTCGAGAGAATTGTTTTCATGGAATCCAACTGCCCTTTGCAAAAAAAGAACTGAAGAATGTATCTAAAATATTTTTGGAGAACTTTATAAAATCCAGTTTTTACATATTTTCATCGGCTTATCTGCGGGCATATAGGAGTGGTATTAAAAACTATAAAGATTACCTATTATTTCTTATTGTTTATTTTTGATAGCACTGGATAACCATGTACCATTTAAGTTTATAACGGAAACCTACTGATATGCAAATGGAATATTTTTTGTATTATTTTTGGAAAGCAAGTTTCAATTAATTTTCGTAGGAAATCCCAAATTTTACAATGGAAACTTGCTGCCCTAAAGATTTGATTATTGCCACCCCCAAAAAGCATTGAGTAGGCCAGTGAATTATCTGTTTTGAGTTGTCACTCAAATGGGTTTTCATAGGTTCAGTATTACTTTGTGTTTGGAGTTCTATTTACCTTCTAAGCAAAGGTCTGGCAATGAATGGAAAGCATTTGTATTGGTGCTGGTGGTTTTTTTTTTGGTGTTTGGGTATCTTTCTGTATTTGCCCGACGCTTAAAAGTTTTTTATCTTCTCTGTTTTGGCTGTGCTTGCGATGTCGTCGTGAACTTGTTGATTTTAGATACAAACTCGAGTCGTTGTCGCTGTTGTCAGTCGTTGTAGTCTTTTTTATTTGCGCAACGAAACGAAAAATACATTTCAGAAAATTGTCAAAAAAGTAATACCTACCAACGAACCCAGTGACTTGAAGGTTAATGTGGCTTCTTCCATGCCTTGTGCACTTTGTGTTTGATTGCAAATAAAGCCGAAACAAAAACGAAACTTCAGCCAAAAGGAAGTGGGTTTTGAGGGGAGCTTCGGCTTTCAGTCGCCAGACATTTATGAAATATTGTGTCCACACTCGCTTCTCGGAATTGATGTTTGAATTATGAATTTAGACTGACACAGGTAGGAGCTTCTTTGTTCTTCGCTCAGTTTTCCAATTAACCGAAGGATTTGCCAGCCAGGAAAACTGGTTATGAGATCATATCGTGTTTGCCGGCCAATTATGTTAAATGATTTGGCAACTGATGTCCGTCTAATGGAGTGTGTCGAGCGGTTTAAAAAAGGTTTTACAACTTAATAAATTGAGATTATTTGTCAAGCCTGGTTTCGTTTAATTCTCTTCAAGTGGACATCACACTGATGATTTTAAGTACCTTTAAAATATATTGCCCATTGTTTTGCAAATGATCTAATCTTTTACCTCTAGATTTTGCTTGAGTATATTTACTTACAGATGTGCTAATTAAAGTAGAGCGATTGTAAACATCAAAACTTACCTGTAAAGAGAAAATACACAAAATTAGTTATGTCATAGAAATGTTCTATAGCTTTTATGTATGGGATTACAGAAATATAAAAATAGAACTGATCTCATTATATGTCCATTACGGGGAAGCATCAACCATAAAACAAATCCTCTTTTTCTTCTTTTCTTACATGGCAATTTGCTCTTACACATGTCCTACAAAACCTCCCAAACATTTTAATAGCTCATTAAAACAGTGGCTACAGAAAACAACGAGAATTCCGTGAAATTTAAGTAGCACACAGAATCATTAAAAAGCAAACACACATGTGACATCAAAAGTCTTATGTCTCAACTTCTTGCGGCATCGCAGAGCGACAGAAAAACAAATTTGTATCTAGCGCGAGTCGATTGGAATTAATTGTTTTGACATTTTACTGGATAACCCCATAATACCCCACCTCCACCACCCTTCTTTTTTTACAAATGAGATGCCAATTTAGGGTTTTGCAAAACACTTGACAGCAATTAAGTGTAAGTACGACTGACATTACTGCCCCCCATTGTCACTTGAGATTTTAGTTTGTCGTTTTGCATTCCCTGGGTAATTTACAAGGCGCCAGACTTTAAAAGGCGCCACATCTTGCAATTAAATGGGCTTACAAAGATAAATATTCCATAAAGAACATGTGATTCTTAAGATGAAGAACTTTTGTTACCCCAAGCTGCCTTGTTATTAATTTTATTCAAATCTGATATTAAATTTCAATGCTACATTGGTATTACAAATAACTTTTCCAAATGGTACAATTTTATTACAATGTTATTAGTGGAATTTTATGACTCTAAATATATATAATTGGAATCTTTTCTGTGGGCTCTTCGTGGTTGTGCTTGTTACAGCCATAAAAAATGTTTCCAAAGCGATTAAACATTTTTATTGATTCACACATTTGCACCACAAATTTTCCAAGTGTCAGTGGTGTCAGTGTCATTTAGATAATGCAGAAACCTTCAGAGCGACAATAAATAGAACAACAATTAAAGAATCGTGGCCACAGCAAATCACGAAGCCCACAATCCATGATTTGTGCTTGTTGTAATAAAAACAAAATTGAAATAATACAGAAAATTAAGCTTGAAAAATGAACCAATGAATAATAATCGTAACAAAGTGTTGGTCTTAGCCCAGTTGGATTGGATCGGCAACTCTTCCGCTTTGTAATTAATCAATTTCAACCTCGCAATGCATACAAAATAAATCGCGCGCATTGTGTGAGAAATCAGCAGCCGTGCTGCTTGGTTTTATAATAAAAATGTTAAAATTTACGAGACAAAGGCGAAACATTGACGGCGGCAACATGTATCCGACGACTCCGTCTCTGGATCGGATCGGATGGGATCGGGACTGGGACTGGCGAACTCAAGAGCCCCAACATCCGCAGTGGAGGGAAATTTTGCATTATTCGACCGGTGAAGTTCCTGGGCACATGTATTGTGTTTATGGACTTTCGTTAAATGTTTGCCAACATTATGAAAGTAGTTGGGGCCAGAAAAGCTGCTGGGAAATGCGAGATACGGTGGTATAAGTTGCATAAAATATGAGAAAAGCTAAATAAATTTGAAGCTCTATTATATCTATAATATAAAGTTATATATATAAAGCATATTTATGAAGCAGAACCCAAACGAAACATAAAGTTTCGAAAATTCAACCTTAGTTTAGAACATATTTTATAATTTGATATCAACATATCATATAACAGCTGTAATGCCTATCTTGATCAGAACTTAAGAAAATATATTTTTAAATAGGAATGATTTATTTTTCAAAATGTCAAACGAAACTATCTAAATCAAAAGAGAAGATATTAATCTGAAAATGTTTTGACCCACTTAACACTTATTTTCAGAGGAATGGTTAAGAAGAATTTCACTGTTTGTGACTCATTAAAACGAAGAATATTCTGGGTTGGAGCCTGTGTTATCTCTAGTTTTTTCAGCCTTTCCACTGTGCCTTGCTGGGCCATACAGTTTTTCCTACTTAGCCATGGCCTATAATTTATGTTGGCTGCATTTAACCGCCAGGCAACCGGCGAGCGCATTTGGTAGTCGTGCCGTTTGGGCCTGGAAATTTGACTGCGGTTACTTTACTTCCTTGGCCGGGCCCCGTATCGCCCATTGAGCATCGCAACGCATAAATCAAACTTTGGTCTCGGCACCGAGGTTTTCCTCGCCAGAAATTGTGGGTATATTCAGAAACGTTTGGCTATATCAAGTGGCCAGCTTCTTGGAAGTTGGATGGGTATGGGTCCAAAGCCCGGCCAGTTGTCCAACGAATTTATGGGCTTTTAATGTTGCAAACTTCTCTCAGTCTCTTTCTTGTGGCGTTGACACTGTAGCGGTAAATGTTGATAAATTAATTCGTAATGTTGCAACGTTGCAGGTTCCAGGTGAGTCAGAGGACCCCGAAAAGGGTTCCACAACATACGTCCTAAAATGTCAAAATAACGGCAGGGGTTTCTTTTCGAAACAAGCTTTTTGTAAAGCTAAATATTTAAGAAATTTTTGGTATAATAAAGAAATTTCACATCCATCAAAATCAAAATTAAACTGCCTTAATCCTCTTTGAGGTCTCAGGTGTCAGATCAATTTACCTGATTGCCAACTTTTTGTAATGAGTTAAGATTAAAGATTACAGATTTACAGAGTTCAAGAAACTTTTCTTGTTCCGCCCTTTTGTTATTGTTTCGGTTTCATCTGCGCGATGAATCTTCTAATTAAATGAAATGTTTAGTCATTAGGCCGTAATTTCACTTTGGCGAGGTGAAAGTCCTAAGAAAAGACAACAAGAGGAAAGGCAGAAAGTAAAGGCACTAAATCATCTGAGCGGCAATTAAACAGAGTGAGAAAAAACACTTCATAAATTACCTCAATGCGACACGCCCACTTTGTAAAAACGAAGCTAAGGTTTTTTCAAAAAGCGGAAACCATAAGTGAATAAATGACAACACTGAAATCCCTTATTCATTTGCCAAAAAATTAGTCAGCCAAGGAGTTAAGCTCAAAATAACCCAAAAACAATCTCCGATATTATGACAGCAACAAGCTTATGTGTAAATGCGGAAAAAAAATGTACTTATCACATGAGTGCACTTCAAATTTATTAATTTTTTGTGAACGCGTGTTCAAATTTTGCAAACCAAATATTTATTTGTTTTGTGACAAGCTGGATGATCCAAGAGATAAGGTTATATATTATACAGGAACTTTGGGTTACATTCAAAAACGAAAAAACTAAGAATCAACTATTATAAAGGTTTAAAATGTATCTAATAAAAAGTAAACATAATTGTCTTGTATTATTTTGTCGTAAAAGGAATATTCCTGAATATGGTATAAAATTATATAGTTTTTGAAAATATTTTTTATACATAGTAGTTTGTTTTTGCTATAAGAGTTGTAAATTTTTCTAAGAAATATAGAATGGTATACTTGCCATTTCTCATTCCAATGGAATTTGGCACGCGAATTGTGAAGACCTTTGAGATTAGATATTGTGGGGACATATATATGAACATTCTAATCATATATACTATATAAGTGGAAAGGTTACGCCTTGTTGTGGTTCGCACCTTGCCCGCAGAGGGGCGCACCTGTTGCCAAATCGATAAGGTTTTCGAGGGGCTTTCTGCCTTTTTTCCTTTGCGGGCGCCAAGCGAAAAGTCGGTCGTACTTTTCAATATTTACAAATAATTAAAAACGGTAATTGGCTTTGCTGGTTGTTGTCGTTGGCTCACTCGGGTCTAAATAAACAATTGTTTTGCCGCTATCTGAACGCAAAAAGTTTGCTTGGCAAATTGTCGCGGCGCTCG